TTCTTTCAGAGATTAGTTGAGACGCTTGCTTCCAATGTTTCTGTCTGATTTTGTAGTTAGTGTTCCTTTCCAAGGCAGAGCTACATTAAAAGGCACGAAGAGACCTGCCGACCGATTGCAATTGCCTCGGTTGACTCTCGACGTCGATCATTGCCAGCCCTATACGACGGGCATGCCGAAGAAGTTTATAGAAATATTTTGAAAAGTTAATGGTATATCGTGAACAGCGCATACGCTAGCAGGCGAACCTTTAAATTCCGAATTTGTTAGTTTTTCTAATAAGGAAAAATAGAATATTAAATACTTGCTTGTTGCCCAACTGTTGCCCAACTCACCTGTTATCAGCAGTAGTTCGTCGCGCGTGAAAAGCTTCATTCATTTGGCCTCAATGATAAATTGAGGTTTATTGTCGAAAAATAAACCGTGATGTTGTACGTTAGGGTAGAAAATTAGCAACCAGTTCCAATTACCACTTTTTCCTTTTCGGTTCCGGACGCGTATTCTGTCTTTGAGTTAGGCGCATAGATATGTAGCGAGGCCATTGCTTTCTCTCGTTGCGATCTTAGTCAGAGAACTGTTTCTCTCCCACTGACAGCCTTCCAGTCATTCTATCAGGCTCGGTTCTACCTGAGCGCGTGTTGTGGACTTAACATATAAAAAGAAAAGCTTCCATCCGTTTGTGCCCAATTGGTATATATACATATATGCATATATAAGTTTCGACGATAAGTTTCGCTGAATGGTGATGTACTTGGGTGCATCACGTACTTGGATTCTCAGCGCTCTGGAAATGAATATTGGAGCATTTGGGAAAATCAAAAGTGGATTAAGAAAAAAAACGAATTACAGTGGGAAACTATTGCACAAAGGTCTGAGGTGCCATCTTGGCATCGCGCTGTCGTCTCCTCCGTTTAGAACGGGTGGTGACTTCGCCACTGACTGACTTCGTTGTCATCGTCTACATTTTCGGTAATTGCCTCTGTATCGCTACGCCCCTTGCAGCCGGCAGGCGCGAAGCAGATTCTAATGGCCGACTTTTCCCAGTCTGTCAGAGTTTCCCAACAGCCTCCTCATCTCTCCGTAACCCAGGTAATAACCGAGCCGGTAGAACGTACGGTAGTCGCAGTACCACGAGGGGCAGATTGAAAATTTTTACAAGGGACTTCGCCACGGCCTCAACTCTCCTCCTTTTTTATCCGGGCTCTGGGCAGTCAATGGCGGAGTTCGAAAATTGACAGACTTGTGTAAAGTTCTAAAATCAGTTGTTGATTCGTATTATGTTAACATAAGGCCATCGTTTAAGAAATCGGCGGAAAAATCAGAAACTGCTTTCTAAATACCGACATTTTGTTGAAATCGTTTAGCAGATATTTATTTCCGATCAGATTTTGCCACGGGAATGTAAGGCAGTCGTAATTTTAGCTACATGGAGTGATTCTTGTCTGAATAGTCTTGTAACACAAATAGTGTTGTATTATGATCTGCTATTCACTTAACCGTACACCCCGTCCCACCGCAGTGGAGCGAGCCTCTAGGCATGAACACTGGCCTTGCAGGAGGCAGATCTCAACTTACGTGCCAAACGCGGTACATCGACACGTGTCATATGCATAAGTTACCTAGTGGCGACGGCCGCCCGCGAGAACCAGATGGTCGGAAGATCGCTGACTACGTTGTACGTTGCTGGATTTGTTGTACGTTCGCGTACGGCCATTCGATTGCAATTGCTGTGCTGACTAGAGACTGATTAAGCATTACAGTTTCTTTTTCTGCGAATAAGTGCCTGTTTTAGCAGCGTACTGATTCTGCCGATCGACAGACTTTTGTTGAACTAGTTATTCATCAAAGGTTTTGAAAGTTGATGATGTTTTTAAGGTCAAGAAGATTGCGAGCTTGTGATGGCTCCGACGCTTCCACCAACTGACGATCGTAATGAGAAGCCGACAAGCCCCGTCGGAGGCAGAAACGCGGCACCCACCGGTGATGTCACTTTGCGAAAGTGTTTGGAACAGGACAATTCGCCTAGCGACAGCACCGTTCGTGTCATTCATACAGCGGCGGTGGTATCACTGACCAAGCGTTCAGGCAATACCTCATCTTCCTCTGGGCCGAACGACTTAGCGGGTAGCAAGCATTGATTGTTCTTACTGATTCCCATCTGCCTGACAGGTGAGAGGCGGCTTATTTCTAAGTATATTTAATTACTTTTATATCATCTGTAGAAACCTTTCGTAAAGACTTATCACTCATTCGCAACTTGCCAGCCAGGTTCCGTTATTCTTTTCCTCCAGTCTGATACGTTGATTTGGACCTCGCGAGACTGCTGCGGGTCGTGAAGACTGAATATTGTTTCCACACCCTGTTATATGTTGCATGACCAGTGTGTACGTTGGATCACAATAAGCGATGACAGTCGTGTTCGATTTTGCACATGGGCGATGCTCAACGGGGACCGTCGTTCTCGTTTGAGACTTTGTATTTGCTAACCGGTTGCAGTTTCGAAGAGGTAGACAATATGCGCCCTTCTTGCATATTAGGGTATTGTGAGTAGGCTTAGTTGTATGTACTGCAGTCTGCCATTCGTCGATGTGTTTTGAACATTTTGATCGACATGTATAGTAAGCTATACTTTGCATCCTATCGTTTTTCCACTAATTTCGTATGTCATACCCTAATGTTAAAATTTCCAGGTAAGCTTATACCTTACACGCAGCACATTGATACAGTGAACCATATTTCGACTGGCTTCGCAGTCGTTTTCAGTTGAAGAATTCTGATAAACCTGTCGAAACCCAGTCCTGTGCACCGGCGTGTTGTGCGTAATGTATAATGTAACTTCTGCTAATATTTAATATATACCGCATCGTCAAGCTGTATCGAACCCTGGCGTGCCTATTAAATCAGTGCCGCATAACTTGGGATATCAGGCATAACGATGAATTACGTGTCTGATTTGATTTGATTTTCTGTCAGTGGTCATGTTTGAAATTACACTGGTAACGCATGCAGCCCAGTGCTCTCCACTCTCTTTCTGGTTTGCAGCAATAACAAGTGTTACCCCTGTTAATTATCGCATTGAATAGTCAGTTAACAAGCGGATCAGTGCGAATTGGTGTCCTATGAGGTACTGGCATCGAACAGCATAGCCGTACCTCTCGCCAATTCATGTATGTATGACCGCGCAAGAACACCGTGTTTCCTCTGTTGTTCACAAGTCAGGGACTTGTTACCCGTTTCTCGGCTGGTTGTACTGACATAAGCGTAGGGTAAATTCTTGCTCAAGACTGAAGTTAAGACTTAGTTCGTCCCTCCTACGGAATCGAACCCTTCACCTACAGCATTCTAGGTCGACTTCTTTACCTCTTCGTTCTATCTTATTTATCCTGTTCCTTTGCGACATTCAGATTCATATAGAGGTAAAATTCGAACTAATTCGACGTAATTATTTCCATGATAATCATTTAAAGTGCTTAAACCTGACTGCTTCACAGGGATTCAGTGATGGTTTGTTTATTGTTCAGTAATTTTATGAGATGATTTAAGAGAGATTTGCAGTGGTTCATGCCAGTGTTCTCTGCCGTTTTTCGCTTTTATATACCTTTTACCTTCCAATACGCGTAATTAGATATTTTGGATCGGAAAAGGTACCCACATTACCGAGGAAATAGTCCTTAGTCAGCGGGTGCGGTTAGTGGCAGAATGCAAAATATTTCTTTTCCGTACAAGATCTGAAGTGTTCATTTAGCTAATTATTTCAGATTGTATGATTTCGTTTATTACCGGTTGGTGTTGCACTGAGTGTTTGAATTCAACATTGCATGATGTACCAGTATTCTTGCCTAAAATGGAACTACCAAATGCTTGTAAGATGCTGTTCAAGCGCATGTAGATAGAAAGAGGGAACTGAATGTTCTACTGGGAAAAATTCCGTGTGATGGTGGTGGAACTTGCCATTAAGAATTGTCTTGGCCAGGCATATCGACCATGGTTGAAGCTGAAAGCTGCTTTGCATAGACAAAAACTTTAGGGATCTACGGGTCCGTATGAAATCTTTCTCTAGGTGACCGGGAAAGAAACAAGGCGGGAAGAAATGCCACGAGTCTTCAAAAAGGGATTTGCCAAAGATTCCGCTGCCGACGATATTCGGAGTCGCCGCTCATAATGACAGCAGACATCAGTCGCATATGTAGCCAGCGTGCACTTTCTCGCTAAACGTGCCGTTGATCATGACTTTTAGGAATTTTATGGCTGAACTCGGTGAATAGCTTACAAAACCAGCATCCAGTTCTTCCTGTCAGATCAAGCGAAACAATTCTTCTAAAACCTACCTTTCAAGACCAGTGTGTCCTCGATTAATTAATTTTCGATTACGATATGATCAATGTTCTTCACTTGGTTGAACACTTTGAATTGAAACAGTTCTGATAGCAAATGAACACTAAATATCGATTCAACAACGAAAATTAAATAGAATCAGTCAACGCAAAATTTGTGGCAACGAAGCGTAATCTACTGCGGATTTCGTCATTGCTGTTCTTGATAACGCATCTTGCGGACAACGATACTCGATCGTATTGCAACCACACTAAAACAGTTGATGTACGATATTACCCCAGAAGAAAAACTAAATTCCGTTGACTGAAGGACCGATATAGTATGTATTAAATAATGACAAAACAATTTAGTAAAGTGAAATTTTAAGTTACGTAAATCAAATTCAGATAAAAGATCATGATCCGACCTGCGTCGCAATAACTCCGCTGTTATCGGTTCCAAGACTCCTTGAGAAGGGAGGAGGATTGGAGACCATGGTGCAGTATCCGCAAAATTTTGCCACCTGCCCTTCATGGTATTGACGTCATCGAAAATTATACTGGCTCAGTCGTCGCCCAGGTTGCCAAGGGCCGCGCAGGATCTTACCGATGTACACCTTGTCGCAGTCTCCACATTGAACCTGGTATACAAATGTTGTAACCAACCGGAAATTGAAGATCCGGATCAAAGAACACCTTGCGGCAGCCCGTCTTAGACATGCTGACAACTCCGGGATTGCCGAACATGCGATATCTGAAGGACACTCTTTTAGTCAGGCCGATGT